CCTTTGTTTTGGCAAAAAACTGATATTTTAGGGTGGAAAATATGGATTCGAATTTTAGACAAAACATTACCTTTTTTCAGCTTTTCAGTCGTATATATATATATAGAAAGGTGCTTATTTATTTTTCTGTAAAAAAAACTTGGGTTGTTTATGAACAATAGAGGTTCTTCTGTATCACTTGCTTTTTTTTAAATCGTTCTGCTCTGGCCTCTTTCAAGTTATGGTCTCTCCGAAAGTTATCATGATTTTCTTGTTTTCCTCTGACTAGTTTTTCCGCTTGCCACTTCTCGACATCCCCTGGCATCCGTTTTCCCTGCAGCAGCAGCCCCTTTTCTTTTTTTTCAGTTTCAGCATTCCTTTTTCAATTTCTCAGTGTGGTTTGTGGTTTCCTTTCGCTCGTTTCAGTCCATCCTGCTGGGACTCCTTTCTCGCCTTTTGTGACTCGGACTCCCTTTTCTTTTCTCTTCTTTTCCCTTCCCACCCCCCGCTGTGTTGTTGCCTATGCATAATTCTTTTATCTCAACCAGGCCGCTCGCTGAGCTTTCTCCGCAGCCCGTTCTCCGTTCTCCCTTGTCCTTTCTGCTGCACTTTTGCTGCTATTGATGGCTTGTTTACATTGTACCGCGCTCGCAACTCCCAGGCCATTTGTCTATAATTGACTAATCGACAGGGCAGGCGGGAAAAGGCGGGAAAAGGGCGGAAAAAGGCGGGAAGAGAAGCTCGGGATCCGCTGGGGATCCTAGTGGGAAGGATGCTAGTGTGAATGGCAAATGGTAAATGGTAGATGGCCAAAAGCAGTCGATGGAACTGCCCAAGGAACTGTGTCACTGGTTTAGTTGGAGTTTATGTGGTTACCACAGAGTACTTTAAGTTTAAGTTCCATCTATGTATATGTGGCTTTAAAAGGCACAAACCATTTCTGTATGTTTTATTTAATGCATTGGAAAAATTTGAGAAAATATCAGGTATTCATATCATTTTGACATGCATAAAGATTAAATATATCGTATCATTAAAGACGATTGTTTGCGAAATCAACTGGTTTTTCTGCACAACTACTGGCATTAGGTTAAATGCATTTAAAGCCGAAAAGCTACACGAGGCGGCTGCTTAGCTGGCCAAAAGTCAGGGCCGGTGGCAAAACTGAAACCAGCAGCAGCAAACCTGGCCAAAATTGTAGGACGGTGAAAGCGAATTGAATTAGCGCTGAATTCCGTTCTCAATTAAGCGTATAATTTCCATTGTGTGTGTATGCTTGTTTCGGCTGTGTGTGTGGCCATTTTGATATGACCAGTTGGCGCAAATATTGGCCAGGTGAATGTGAGGGTGTGGCTGTATGTGTGGCTGTGTGTGTGGCTGCATTTGTGTGGGTGAACTGGTCTCGCTGTGCGGTTAATTAGATTGCGAGCAATAATATTGCATGAGCCGGCAATCGGGCGACTTTGCTTCCCGTGGGCGCAAAGGGGGCGTGGCCGAAGAAAGGGGGAGTGGGAGTGGAGGGTAGAGTAGAAGTGCCCACCCACACACACAACACTCATACGCTGTGTACACTTACATGTAATTAGCATTTCCTGTTTGGTTTGCCAATCTTGCACGCACACAAGCACACACACATGCACACAGTTGCAACAAGGTAGCGAAAGGTGAAAGGGGCGTGGTCGGAGGGAGACGCACATAATTAGGCTGGCCAAAAATCAAACGCCATCTGCATTCAAATTCAAATTGAGATTGCTGCGCAAATTCGGTTGCATTCAGCGTTACAGCTACACTGTGCAAAAACCTATACGTTTAAGAATGTGGACAAAAGCGTTAAGTTTGTTTTTTTCTCGAAAATATTTATTCCTAGTTATACCCTTGTAGAGGGTATTATAATTTCAGTCAGATGTTTGCAACGCAGTGAAGGAGACGTTTCCGACCACATAAAGTATATATATTCTTGATCAGCATCACTAGACGAGTCGATCTAGCCATGTCCGTCTGTCCGTCTGTCCGTCTGTCCGACGGTCCGTCTGTCCGTCTGTCCGTTTCTATGCGAACTAGTCTCTCAGTTTTAAAGATATCGCGATGAAACTTTCCCGAAAGTCTTCTTTCTATTGCAGGTAGTACATATGTCGGAGCGAGCCGAATCGGACCACTATATCTTAAGGCTCCCATAGGAATATTCAAAGATATATAAGAAAATGCATTGTTACTTTGTAGGAAGTAGGCGTTTTAATTCTTGACTCTTTAAAAACAAAATTCAAAAATAGAAACGCTGAATCTGGAATCCCTGGAACTGCACCGAGTGAGCATTACTTTATCTGCAAGGGTATATAAGCTTCGGCTGGCCGAAGGTAGCTTCCTATCTTGTTTTTTTATGATAAAACTTTAAAATTCCTTTTTTGGTACTTCACCTGCCGTTTATTTAACTCGTTGTCTATTATTTGTAGCATATTTTTTTGCGAATTTTTCTTACAAAGAATTTTAATATTTGTATATTCTTTTTTTTCCCGCAGAAGGTCTCGCTGGACTTCACCTGGACTGAAAAGAGGATTCTCCATAGAAGCTAAAATGCTTTAATATATTTATAATTGTATAGATATGTAAGCAATAAAGCGAACATAAAATAATGAATTTGTAAATTACAGTTTTAGAGTCACTGGGAGCGCTTGCTTAAAATATTTAGTTTTAGAGTCACTGGGAACTCAATTGTAAAATATACAGTTTTAGAGCCACCAAGAAGCCGAATATTTACAGTTTTAGAGCGACTGAGAAACCGACCGCAATATTTACAGTTTCAGAGCCACTGGGAGCGCGAACCTGAAATTTTTACAGTTTTAGAGCCACTGAGGGACCGGCCGTAATATTTACAGTTTTAGAGCCACTGGGAGCGCGAGCACGAATTTTTACAGTTTGAGAGCCACTGACTACAGTTTTAGAGCTACTGAGGGGACGAGCAGAGGCACCGACTACAGTTTTAGAGCCACTGGCGCGGCAGGCATAATATTTACAGTTTTAGAGCCACTGGAACCAGGAACGCAATTTTTACAGTTTGAGAGCCACTGACTACAGTTTTAGAGCCACTGGGAGCAGTGTATATGCGAATACAGTTTTAGAGGCACTGCCATTACCAATGGCTTTAAAACTGTACCAACGTAGGTCGTCGCCAGTGGCTCTCAAACTGTATCCCGGCAAGACCCAGTGACTCTAAAACTGTGCCCGTATGAGTTCGTTCCCAGTGACTCTAAAACTGCACTCTATAATCCGCGTTCCAGTGGCTCTAAAACTGTACTCCGGCCCAAAAGTATGCAACCCTTTTCGTCAGCCCAAAAGTATGCTACCCTTTTCGTCAGCCCAAAAGTATGCTACAAAAATGGAAAAATTAAAAACGCCATTTTTTTAGTTACAAATTTATATGGATTCCAAAATTATTTTTTACAAAATTGGGACCAGTGAGGTTACGTTTTTCCCAGTGCAGTGCCGCTGCCGCACAATTGCTTTCCGTTTGAGTTATGAGTCAGGAGTCAGCTGCGGTGTATTTCGACCGGATTCCGCGGCCAAAAGATCGGAAGTGGAGTGGACAGGTCCGTAGGCACACCAGAGAGGCAAGAAATAACCTAAAAAACCTAAATAAAACCGAAAACGAAATAGAAAGCAACCGACAAATCAACCCAGCCGACGACTGACCGACCGCAGGAGCATGCATTTTATGCGGTTTTCGAGTTCCAACCATCAACCATCATCACCTGGGGCTCTCCTGTAATTGCAGATTTTAATTTTTAAGCCGCGCTCTTTATTCCCGGATTTATGCGCATGCATTATGCATGCAATGCATACGCCACGGAATGGCTTTGGGAATAGAGAATTTTAATTAGTTTGCCGCATTTCGCATTCGCATATTTCCACCTTTTTGCTGCGCATTTTCAATCAAAAGTGTTGAAAACCGCCTCATAACCATCGTCAGCATCATCATCATCGTCCTGCGTAGTCCATAAACGCCCACTTTCCGCCTCGTGTGTGCCATATAAATAAACATAATCGTGAGGAAGCGAGGCAAGGCCAAGAAAAGGGCGCTGGTAGGCAACTTAAATGCTGCGGAATTTTAATAGTTCACGTAAATGGTTTTTGTGGCGTTGGTAATGTTTATTAACCAACTTGGACGCCCGGGAACTTCGGCTTCGGGTGCCTTTCTCCGTTCTCCTTTCTCCGCTTCTGGTCCTCCAGTGGAGCGTGTTTAATGCTCACTTAAGTTGCGTTTATACAAATTTCCTCGCCTCTTCCCCAGGACTCCACTCCTTTTGTTCTTGGTCCGGTCCTTCCTGGTTATCCTTCGGCTCTTTCGGGCAGAAAGTTTTGTGTGGAGTGGCTTAAGGTATCCTTGGAGGAGAACTTGCCTTGCTCCTGCGTAAAGTGGATTCATTTGGCCCGGCTCTAAATGCTTTGTTGTTTACATTCCTGGAAGTTTTGAGTCTCACGTCTTTGGCACGGCGCTTCCCACTTCCGTTTCACCAGCTTTCATTCAGCTGGAAGGCGACTTCTTAAAGATGGAATCAGTTCAGCTTGTCCCCTAGAAGAAAGAGGTGTTTTTAGTGAACTGATTGAAGACAAAGTATCATTTCTTTTCAATAATAACTCTGTTGTTTTTTTTTTGGAAATTTTATTCTTCAATCACTTTGTTCTCATATCAATTGTGGTTTATTAGCTACGCAAAAAAAAACTAGGAAAGAAAATGGGGTTTCCTTCCCACGGGTTGTTGTTGTTGTTCTCCTTATCAGCTAGCAACTAACATTAATACACTGAAGTATGTATCTATATCTGTATCTGTATATGTTTTATGTATATGTATTTGTGTTTTTTTTATGCATAGTCGTACGCCTATCGAATAGTTTTAGTTTTAGGGCATAGAATGCCCAAACTGTACACGACTCTCCTTACTTTCCTTTCCTTAACTCCAACAACAATTTGACTAAGCTGCTATAAAAAATTAAAATGTAAAATAAAATAAAATAAAATAGAATACATAAGGAAATGTGTGCGTGGTGTATTTGTGTGCTTGTGTGTGTGACGTGTTTGTGTGTAGGTGTATGTACAAGTTAAAAATCATATTGAGTAATGGTTTATAGGTTTTTAGGGTTAAACACCATAAAAATATTGGGTTGAGCAGCTTCTCCTTTCTCCTTTCAATATCCCGCTAGTTTATCCGATTTTAATCGGCCTAATCCGCATATAGTTAGCTTTACTTTATCCTTAGGGCCTCGTCTTTTCTTCTTCTTCGTTAACAATTTTCCTATTTACAGTTTACAACTCAAACTTGTTCAATTTGCTTTGTTTTCTAGTTTAAGGTTTAGTTTTCTTTGCTTAGCATTAGTGATATTTTTCGCTTTCTTCGATTTTCCATTTTAGGGGGCCTTTTTAACTTGCCTATACAACAACAATAATATCGATTCTATCCAAAAAAAAATGTGAAAACAAAAATTCGCTTGAAATTCCCTCTTTCGATTTTTTCGTAATTCTTAATAAACATCATCAGTCTTGAACTTAGTTTAGGTTTCCTTTGCTTCGCTTTGCTACATGATTTCCCCCTCTTCTGTTGTGGGTCTCGTGTTTTTTGAAAAGTTGTGACCTTGTGTCTTTTTTTTCTTCCTTTGTGAATGGAAATACATAATTGGGATGTGGGATATGGGGGTTTGGGGACTTTGGGACTACTATCCAGGTTCGAAGGCACAATTTCAAAAGTGTTCTCTCCCCGACTCCGCGACTAACTAACACGCCTCTTCTATACACTAACCACACTCCAAGTAGACCCCGTTTCTGTCTTTGATTTCTTGGGAAATCTCTAAGTAATATCAGAGATATTACAAATCTTATAAAAAAGCATTATCAACTCATATACTCAAGTGAGTAGTTTTCTAAAACAATCAATCAAAAACAGCGCCTCCTTTTCGCATGGATTTTGGATGGGAACTCTGGACATACTAACTAAACTCAGAGAAACTTGGAATCAGAGGACGGGTTTTGGGTTCGGATTTGGATTCAGATTCGGCTTTAGGAGTCAGTTTCAGATTCACACAAAGAACTCCTCGTTGCCGAGGCTGCTGCCGGATGCTTCAACCAATTGCCAGGGCCAGGACCATCCGCCTCCTCCTCCTCCGCCCCCGAGGAGTGCGAATCACCGCTCCGTGGAGTGCGTGGTGGCCCCGCCGCCACTACTGCTGCCGCCCGATCCCGAACCCGAGTTGAGGCCCTGGCGACGGAAGAAGCCCAGGGTGTCCAGCGCCTTGATGGTGCGTCGGATCAGCTCGTCCTTGTACTTCCAGATGGTCTTGTCCTCCACCGAGTGCTCGCGGTACTCCTCGCAGCTCTTCTTCAGCGTCTTCACACAGTCCGCGCGGTAGTGCTGCAGCTGGGCGTCCTGCGTGTCCACCGGATAGGACTTGCAGACGCCGCCGAGGCAGCTCAGCGGGAAGTGATTGTGCAGGGTGAGCACGCGCTCAGGGTCGTGGAAGCACTTCACATACTGATTCGGCTTGGTGTAGTTCTTGGCCCGGTGGACGTGCTGCAGCATGTGCATGTACTTGGGGATGTCCTTGTGCCAGCCGTGCTCGTGCTGCTGGTCGTCCAGGAAGTACACGTTGCGGAAGTTGTAGCTGTGGAAGCCGTCGGGCTTGATCTTTCGCGACTCCGGCCGCACCTTGTCCATCAGCTCGGACCAGAGCACCGATCCGCCCTTGGGCATGATCACCTCGTCGATGTCGAGCAGGGCGATGTAGTCGTACAGGTAGAGATTCTTGTACAGGCAGTCGTTGTAGGGGATCACCTCGTTCTGCCGCTTGTGGTTCGTCTTCTTGGTCAGGTAGAGGTGCTGGAAGCCGGGCACATTCGGCTGACCGCCGGGCAGGGTCAGAGGGATCACTTGGACTTTGCCCTCTTGCTCGTAGTGATTGAGCACCTTGGTGATGTTGGGGTGGACCTATGAAGAGAAGAGAAGAGAAGAGTATTCGTTTATTAATCACTTGTTGGGGAAATCAATTTAAATTAGATCTTGAAAAATATCGACATTTCGATATTTGCGATATTTTTAAACATTAATCGTTTATCGGAAACATCGATCTTTTTTAACGTTTTATTATAAACAGAATTATAATAATTTGTTTAGATTTTACTTTGATTTTTCTTAAAAACATATTGTAAATATATCGAAAATATCGATATTTTTCAAGCTCTATTTTATTCAGGGAACGTAAATAACAGTTATTTGTGATTTTTATTTTAAAAAGACTACTGTGATATTTGGTTTTAAACGTCAAAAATAACGTTCTTTTTACTCTTGTCCACAAAGTATATGCATTTCAACAAATCTGGAAAGCAAATTAATTGTTATTTGTTCATGTCTATAAAGTGCATAAAAACCAGTTAAATTGTTGATTAAAACTTGTACAAATCTCAGTAGGCCTTTTAAAATAAAAATCACAAATAACTGTTATTTACGGTCCCTGATTTTATTTGTTATTTAAATGCGCGTTTAAGTATTAATTTGAATTTAATATTCATTTAATATATTAATTAATATAAATATATATTTATATAATATTTAATAATATTTGTATCTCACCTGCAGATTATAAAAGTAGATCTTGTCGGCCCCCAGGATGTTGAGCATCTCGATCCACTCGATAAGGCGCACACTCAGGTCGTCGTACAGAAAGTCCAGTCCCTTCACGCAGACGGCGAAGCCCTTCTTCTGGTCGTCGGGCGGTCGGTTGTAGATCACCCGCAGATTGTTCGTGGCCGTGTCGCACTCCTTCTCCACCATCGACACAGAGCTGGGCACCACTCCATGGAAGGGCTTGGGGATCTGGCAGGCAATCAGATACGGCTGGTAGATGCCCTGCTTGTAGTTGCCCCACTTGTTGTACCAGATGTACTTGTACTCGAACGTCTTCACGATGAACGGCTCCTTCTGGCCGTCGAACCAGAACTGGCAGTAGGTCTTCACCTTCGGCTCGATGCGGTCGATCATGCCCAGGATTCGCACAGTGGGCCCGAGGAGCGAGGTGCGCCGGATGTCGTAGTAGGCGCCGAACAGCTGGAACGTTCCGTTCGAGGTGCGCAGCGTCTGCCAGTAGATGTTGTTGAACTCCAGCTCGAAAATGGACGGGTACTTGGCGCAGGTGGAGGACTTTTGCTGCAGGAAGTTCTTGTTCTTGCTCCAGTAGGCGATCGGCAGCGAGGGAATGCGGGACTCCACGTCGCGGACCAACTGGTCATCGTCCATGGCTGAATAGTTAAAGGGGATTGAATAGTTATTATTAAATAAATATAATACTGGGATAGTCAAATTATGGTTTCAAGTTGGCCCCTCAATCTTTATTAAATAGTTTCGTCAGTTATACGATTGAATGATATGCCTTCTTCGAGCACATATTTAAGTAAAATGCTAGTGTAAATAAATAAAATACTGGTATAAAATAAATAAATAAAATGCGGATTTAAATAAATAAATAAAATGCTAATAAAAATGAAATAAATTAATTGAATAAATAAATAAAATGCGAAAAAAAATGCGGAAAAAAAATAAAATGCAATCCAATCAATTTATTTTCCTTTACTAAAAATACCAACTCACCTGTTCGATTGTCCACCAGTATCTCGCTGGGATCGAAGTGATCCGTGGTCGTGGACGTGGTCTCCGCGTACCGCATGTCCTTCTGCAGCAGGATGCGTCCATTTAAAGGCACCTGCTGGTACTCCTGCGGCACCAGGTTCGTGCCGTGCATCTTGAACAGCCCGATGATGACGAAGGACCAGACGCACAGCGAGAACAGGATCTTCAGGATCACCTTCGAGTGGGCCATGATGATGCGACTGTGGACTGTGTGTGACTTACTCTTTATGGCTGGGCTATTGCTATTTCTATTTCCTTTTGTTTAGCCAGAGGCGCTGCAATGAGAAATGAGAGATGGTGGGTGGTCGTTAGAAGGCGTTGCTCTTTGTCATCCCGCCCTTCCCATAATCATTCATTTTTAAATATGGCGGTCAGCCGGTCGGTCTGCTTCCGTTTTCCATTCCCTTTCCCCGCCCCTCGTTTTCCACTTTGGTCAGGCGCAAAATGTCAAGTTGAAAACTGCGTGTAATATTTTCTAGCCAGGGGCAAGAAATACCCTTCGGGGGGAGACCAGAGGGGGCTGCGGCGGTAGGTGAAGGGCCTTAGCCTAATGGAAAACAATCTAAAAGCGCCACAGCCACAGCACAACAGCTCAGATACAGTATACAGTGGGCATGAATGGAGGAAAAGTGCTTAAAATTAAGGAAATTCTTAAGAATATACTCGATATACCAAATATACTAGACATACTGGATACCGAATAATATAAAGTCTGTACTCTGTAGTATTAATTTCATACCACTTTCATTTAAAAATTATAAAGTTTACACTTTGTAGTTTCGAAAGTATTAATTTGATAATAATTTTTTTACGATAATTTTAAAAATCGATATTTTAGAATTAATGTACAAATAGTTTAGTTTCTATAATCACTTTTTTTCGACGTTTGAATATTTTTTTTGCCAGTTTTGCCACAACAATCGAATTGGCCAGTATTTTATATTTATTTTTAATCGAAACATCGACAGCAGCTCATTTCCTGTTGCAACCACTGTTTTCTTTGGTACAGAACAGCACAGCACAGCACAGTACAGTGACCACCCCCAGAAGGCGACACTGCAGGCGACAATCTGTTTGCCTATCTGCGCTTTGTATCTTTGCAATTGCGAGTTGTGCGTGCGACAAACGACAAAGGACAGGCGACTGGACATTCACCATTCGCCATTCAGCATTCAGCAGTTGGAACATTGTGTCTGGCCTTCTGGCAAGGCCTTCTAATATTTATGACATTGCATCTAGCTTCTTGCCACTCGAAATCCCTTTGGGTCAGAGAACCACACACACACACAAACACATCCATAAACTGTGTGTCTTCGCCTCGGGAGTGGGAGGATGTGGTCCACCCTAATTCCCCTACCGATTTAGATGCCCTTTGTTTTTGGCGTCGCTTTCAATTGCCTGTTTTTGTTCTATATACTTAATGCATTCACTACTCACTGTCTTGGGATTTTCCTAAACTTAAACTCGTTAATAAAATCAAAAACAACAGCTTTTCTTCCCACCTTTAGTAGCACTTACACAAAAAAAAATTCATATGGAATAGGGTCAATTCTACCTTCTTTCATATCATTATGATGTTTGATGATTTAAGCCATATAAAATACCAATTTTAGTATTTTTTAAACAAATAATGTAAAAGAGAATAAACATAATCTTTATTCATATAAAAATGATATTAAAAAACTAACAATCTGATCTTTTGACAATTTTTTTTCTGTGTACTCCTAAAGTAGTAGAATATTCACATCGTTTTTTCGGTATTTGTTCAAGTCTGCAGCACCGAGAGTCCCAAAAACTTGGTGCAACATTTTTGCAGCACTGGAAATCAGCTGCAGGGGTGTTTCATTCAAAAAAGATGCGAGTGGCAGAAAGAAGAGGCAGCATCAAGTTTTTACTCAAATGTTTTCCATTTCATTTGCATGCGCCGCAAACTTTTTGCAAACACCACACACACAGCCGAGTTACCGGGATACCGAGAGATACTATATACAAAGATGGAGGGAAACCAAATATGTTGCAACAAGCTTTCAACAAGCTGCCCCAAAGGCAAAGGGGGGCGAAAGGGGGGATGATGATGCTGCAGGGCCTGCGAAGAATGCTAAATCACCTGTGTTCCCTTCATCCTTTTGATTTTGGTTTTCCTCTTGCTTTTGCGCTTTAATCCCCAAAGTTTCGGGAATTCGGTCTGGAATTTTCAACTAGATTGAATAGTTCTTTATGGCTTCCAATCAGAGATCCCGAGTTCAAGGCCCTCTCTTCTCAGAGATGCAGAGGTATATTATGGAGTTTAGCCCCGGGGATCCATCATTTATCATTTAGCAAAGACGACGCTTTCACGTACCCATAAATCTCGGCAAAGTCTGAAAAACGATTTGGGTCAATTTGCCATTAAATACGCGTCATGCTTATGCGATTATTCCAAAAGGCAAGACTCAACATACAAAATACGAAGTACAAAATAGAACCCCACAAGTTGTTCTTGGATTTTTTTCTCGTTTGTGCCATGTAATTTGCTAGGCAAAACAGGTTCGATCTCTGGACAAGAATGTGTGTCGCACCCAGAGCGGGAATAAAGAATAAAGAACACAGCCATCGGCCACACAGAAAACAAATTTGATCAAAATAGGTTCATTTCTACCTTATTGAATATTTAATATCAATAAAAAGACGACTAATGTCAAATTTATGATTTATCACATCAACTTGATATTTTATCATTTCACAAAAGAAATAAATATACTTTTTTAAATATCAAATTTAGTATTTTTTTTAATTTTAAAAGATTAGATTAGCTTAAATAATCTTTATTCATATCAAAGTGATTATGAATAACTTGATCTTTCAAAAATGTTAAAGTAACCTGCACATATCAATCTGATCTTTTGTACATTTTCTTTCTGTGCATGGATAAATAAAGGCAACTGAAACTCGCTTCGAGCGTTAGAAATTTTAATGATGCCTCTAACTATTCGTATTTCGTGTTCGTATTCGGTATTCGGTATTCTGTATTCGGCTACCAAAATGGGTCAATGAGCCTCGATGACTCTGGCGATTGCCCAGAACCCATGGTTGCCTCTGTTGGATTGGATTGGATGGGATGGGATGGCATGGGATTGGATTGGCCTTAGACAGCGAGCATTGATCTCTGGTTCATTGATCCGTGTGATCCATGATCCGCGATCCGTAATCCCGAGTGGAACGAACGAACGGAAATGTGGCCAAGATTAAGAGTCTCTGTCTCTGGCAAAGAGCCAATTAATCTGTTCAAACTCAAGAGGCCGAAGATAGAGATCCTTTTATCCGTAATATATGAGCAACACACTTTGTCAAAGTGGGGAAAGATTTTTAGAGTTATAAAATAGAAATAAAGATGATTATCTAAATACTTATAGGTGTATATTTTGGGTGTAGAAAGAAATAAAGATGCTTATCTTAAAAGTATTTACCATCTATAAGAAACGATTAGAGAACCTCAGAGCTCCAAGGACATCCAGATAATAAACAATAAGCCTTTAAAAAATAATCCCCACCCCACAGATATTTCTTTCTGCAATTAGCAGGTTATAAATAATAAGCTACAACTCAGAACGACTTAGCTTGGTGCTTATGGAGGGGCTCTAGTAAAGTGAATCTCCCTCCCGACGCTGAAAAAAAAAACATCATAAACGTGGATCATATCTCATAGTGGATAGCCACTACTCTCCTGGAGTTGAGGAAACCTTCACGGGCACACGTAATATCTATAAATGCGCTGTCACATTCCAGTTACGATCGTTCATAACTCGTTTCGATTTTCGATTTGCGTTGGGCCCACTGATTTGATTGATTTATGCATGCGACGAAGACAAACTTAAACTTATGAGTTGCTCATTAGCATGCTATTTATAGGTGCGATGTGATGTGATGCCAGGTGCAAAGTCATGAATGAATCATCATCATCAGCATCATCATTATTGGCATTAAATGCAAAACGGGGGAATCAATGAACCCCCAGAAGCACTAAACTATTTATGTATCCGCTGTTAATGGGGTAATGGCATCAAGAAAAAAATCAAATAAAATGTGGAGTAGAGTGAAGTGGAATGAAGTGGAGTAGAAAGAATCTAAATGAAAGGCCAGGTCAAGTGGCACATTTGTATCTTTTTGCTGTTGGAGAAACAAAACTGTGAACCCAAAACTGAAAACTGAAAACTCGCACCCAAAAGTCGAAACACGAACGCATTTAAAATGCAGAAGGCAGACGCAAAGTGGCGCAAATGAACTTAAGTATCTTGCGTGAAGTGTTGAGCATCGAGCATTGAGTATCTCGCAGATACGCCGCAGCATATGTATCTTGGCATCGGTGCGAGTATCTCGTTTCCGCATCTTTAGCTGTATCCCACTACACTGATAGAAAGAAAGCGTAGTAATTTACTTAAAATATTTTCACGATGATTTTACTTTATTTAAAATGTGGAAACTTTAAATTTGAGAATTGTAATCTATCAAATGAGAATGATATCATATATTTTGTATTTAATTTAAATATATTATGATTTTATATTTTATACGAAATAAAATGGTTTTAATTCAATATGCAGAGTTTTGTTTTTACTTTTGGATTTTCTTATTTAATTTACCCATATTTTTAATTCAAAATGGAAATTATCTATTATTCTTCTCTGCGTATTTGTGGCTTTGGCTTCTGTTTCTGTGTGCCAGCGATTTTAATTCGCCTCACATCCTTTTATTTGCGTACGTGTGCGGCAACTTCTGTTGCCTCAGTCTCAGAGTCTCAGTGTCTCTGCCCCCGTGACTTCCTTGGTTTTCCCTGGATTTTCCTCCTTGCTTTTCCCCCACTTTTCCCCACCACGATTGATAGCAAAATGATTTCTCAATATGTCGCCTAAGTTGATTTTCCGTTTTTTGATGCCAAATGAAATTTGTTTTAGCTGAACAGCACATCCCCTGCATCTGAATCTGTATCTGTATCTGTGTATCCGTATCTGCCGGATACATTTCGCTCTTGGCGCTCAGAAAAAAAATTCAGCTTAAATAGAATTACAAATATTATATCGCACAGAACACAACCGGTGGTAAAAGTGTTTTAGATTTGCCAGCAACGTTTTTTGGCAATTATCGTTTGCCCAAAAGCCCAAAAGCTTCCACGTGCCTCGAATGCCATTAAAAATTCGGTAAATGAACATTTAATTTCAATTAACAGCGGCGGCAGGGCAACGAAAACAGTTGAAAAAGCAGATAGTAAATGTTTTAAACTAAATTTCGGCCATTGGGT